AGTCGAGACATGTGATGGAACCGCAGAGGCCGAGAGTGATTACAAGCCAGTCAAACAAACGTTGGCGTTTGCCCCAAATGAGACAAACAAAGAGGTTAACGTGGAAATCATTGATGACGACGTGTGGGAACCAGACGAGTTCTTTTATGTGAAACTCTACGTCGAAGAAGAAACTGAACGAGTCGTCCTCGGCAAGATCGCCATTAATATGGTCACAATCATTAACGACGACGGTCAGTTAGAAATTATTTTCTTCACTACATTCATTTTTTTTTTTTTTGATTTGTGGGTCTTTTGTTAACGATTGTATTGTATTGCCATAAATTCTAAATTAATTCATTTGTCGCACGTCAATATATACATCTACATACAGCAGTCGTTTCCAAACATTTTTCTCTGGGTCGCATTTTCAGAATGACAATTTGCTGGCAGCCTACCAAGGGGAAGTCCCGGTGAAAATCCCCAAGCAGCCCTATGGCACAAAATTTCCAGAGAGAGGGTTAAAGGGAGATAACTGTGAATTCGAAGTCAGAACATTATCATTGATAACTCTCTCCTACAATTTGCAGAGCCTAGTTACTTAATATTTGATATAATGCAAAAATATCGCAATTATAAAATTGGTCAATAATTATTTATAACTATTTATATTGGGACAAGTAATCCCTAATAATATTTTAAATTTTGAAATCATATTTATTTTTGTCATATGAGATTTTTGAAACGGTTTCTATATCTTTCATTGTCTCTCAATCATTCCGCCTCACCTGCTATCCTCTTCCGCCTCACCAGCTATCCTCGCCCGCCTCACCTGCTATCCTCGCCCGCCTCACCTGCTATCCTTGCCCGCCGTACCGTTTAGGAACCACTGACGTATAGGATACGAACATTTCGAATCGGCACTGGTGATGTTCCTGTGAGCGGCTTGCAGAAGTTTTTTAAGAAACCAGTAGTTGAAAATTATTAATATTTTTGAACTAATAAAATCTCATTAATTAAACCAATCATGGCATCAAAAGAGTTGTAAAATTCTATGTTCATGTGTCTCACACACTGTGCATTATATATATATATATATATATATATATATATATATATATATATATATATCTCCGCCCACTCGTCAGGGGATATGTTTAGAAAAGATAGCAAAGAGACAAAATTTATTAAGAGCAACTGTTGCATAGATCCTACTTTTGGGGTTCTCTTAGTCACTGCGCCAATTTGAGTTGCATAGTGTTGTGGGCACTGGCCGAGTCCACTTGTATAAAGAAGGTGTGGACCTCTTAACACATAGCCACTTTGTATTGGGGCGACTGTCTTGATTCACTTACATGGTTTTCTTCTTTCTCGGGCGCTGATCGCAATTTTTTTTTGTTCGGAGATAAATAAGAACGTCAACAAAAGGAATTTTAACTTGACTATTCTATTCAACACGTCGACGTGTAAATTTCTAACTAGCCAGTGGGGTCGCCCTCTCACCCCGACTGGGGAGCATGTTCCCAGAAAAGAAATAACACGTCTACATTCCTCGACGTGTAAAACTCACTGAAATCCCAGCCAGGAAGTCAGAGGAGAAATACAATTCTCAAAAAATAAAAGTCTTCTAGACTATTATTTAACACAGAAAAAGAGAGGAAATTGTGGAGAGCCATGATTTTTAATGTCCTAAAGGGACTCGGCACATAGAAGAAGAGGAAGAAGAAGAAGGAGAATGTTCAATGAATAAAAGGTTCGCGAGTCACTTACAGTTACAAAATGTCGTGTGTGGTATGAACGTAAGAGGGAGAAGTAGGAAATTAAGATTATAAGGATACGGAGGATATATAACGATTGACTCTTGAAGAGTTTAAGATTATGTCCAGTTTCTAATTTATCCTCTATATCCTCATACACTGTCTCCAATTAAGCTTTCGTTAAAACTGTCATTGCTCTGTTCTAATAGAAGCAAATGCGGAACAGAAAAGTTACTCCCTTGCAGGACGAGGACAGCATAACGCATAAACATTTCGCAAGAGTGATTTCAGGAGATTAGAAAAAGACGAATATGAAATCATTACACGTCCAGCTTGCAAGAAAACAAAACGAAGGACATACAGAGAAAATAATCTGCAAGCAACAATCCTGTGACTGGAATGAAGGACTTGGGAATGATAACATCATACTTATTACTAGAATAACCAGTGATGGATTTCACGATTTTGCTATATATATATATATATATATATATATATATATATATATATATATATATATATATATATATAATATATATATATATATATATATATATATATATATATAATCATAATATATATATATATATATGTAATCATATATATATATATATATATATATATATATATATATATATATAAAGAGAAAGAACAGTAAGGTATAAAATCCGGTGTTCCTATTAATATTTTTATTTTTACAAAACAGTGCTCAATGCAAATCTACAGAACATAAATATTATAAATTTACTAATTTAAAAATATGGTTCCATGGCTACACAGGAATTACCATGTTTCAAAAACAGAAACTAAAAACTTCAAATTCAGTTATAGAATTGAATTAAAGTCCCTAGTCCTTTTTATTTTCAAGCGAATTTTGGAATAATTTATTTTGAAATTTACTGAATTTTATAAGCACATACATTCATAATATTAGTTTCTAAGGATACCGGGAAATCCAGGCATTTTAACAAGGGGCGGTAAAGTATTCATTTTTACTGACAACTATTGTATCAAAATATGAGTTACTTTCGAAAAGAGGTTAAGTCAAGGTAGAGTAGAGTGCTTTTTCCAACGAATGATGACATCCGTTCAACGCATGTCGTCTGGTCTTTTACAACGACAAAAAGTATTTCGACACTTTTGTTTCGCACTTTTTTGTTTCATAATATATATATATATATATATATATATATATATATATATATATATATATATATTCTGATTATATGTTATTTTTTATAGGTACAATTAATTTAAGTAAACGCTCTATTTTTTATTAAGCTGTCGGAGAACGCATATTTTCTCGAACATTCAATTAATACTGTTTAATTAAAAACGGAGCATTTACTTAAATAAATTGTATCTATAAAAATAACGTATAAACAGAAAATATATTAAATAATTTATATATATATATATATATATATATATATATATATATATATATACACACGTTGGTTTCTCCAACAAAGGATACGCAGATTTGAACCCTGTCAGAAAGCTTATTTTCTTGAATGCGTAGGCGTAATAGACACGGTTTAGAATAAAAAGACGGGACGTCTATTTAAAACACGAGTATCTACTAAAATCAGCGTTTGAAGTAATAAAAATATCCGATTAAAAATAAATCTATTAGTCCCTTTGAAATATATGTTTATATATATATATATCTATATATAAAAGTGAACATTGAAGTCAGTACTCAGAGGCGACAGGTTGTTTCATGCTAGACGTAATCAAGCACTCCACACAAAATATTTTATAAAAAACACCGTAAAAATCAGCTACAGTTGCACTGAGAACATGGCTCAAATAATAAAAAAGCACAACAGGAAAACTATCAACAAACCACCCGAACAAATTAAACCCACGTGTAACTATAGAATAAAGAATGAATGTCCCTTATACGATAATTGCTTACAAAACATCGTAATATACCAAGCCACGGTAAAATCACCAGATAATGAAGAAAAAGTATACATAGGAGTAACTGAAGGACCCTGGAAACAAAGAAACTATGCACAAAAAACATCTTTCATAAATAGTAAATACGCGAACAGCACAATGCTTTCTCTAGTATATCTGGGAAATTAAAAACAAAACGCAAATCACACCAAAAATATCATGGAAAATAAGGAAAAGATCATCACCCTACAACAATTAATCCAAAACCTGCAAACTTTGCTTAGAAGAAAAAAAACAGCTATCATTACCTTCCCAGACCAAAATAAATTACTAAATAAACAATCTGAGCTCATCTCAAAATGCAGATATGAAAACACATTTTTACTATGTTACTTAAAACTCGAAAACTGAAAAGAATAAACAAAAATAAGCAAAATAATATAAAAAACAAGTAAAATATATTAATCCAAGTAAATAATAAACAAATTAACAAACCACTCCTGTTAGAATAGATGAAATAGAATAAATAAAAATAAATACATAAATACATAAAAAACAAGTAAAAATAATCAATCCATATAAATAAATAATGTAAACAATAAACAAATTAACAAACCAATCCCGCCAAAATGACCGTTAGAATAGAATACAACAATCAATCCAAAAATTGGACAAATGAGAAAATAGCTATAACTGCTATATAACGATAAAATTACTACGTTACTCAAAAATCGAAAACCGAATAGAGTAAATAAAATTTATAAAATATAAAAAATAAGCAAATAAGTAAGAAAAACAAGTATAAATTAATCCCAATAAATAAATGAACAAAGTAACAAATCGTTCCCGCTAAAATAACCGTTAGAACAAATAAAAATAAACATAAATAAGCAAAAGCAAGTAAAAATAATCAATCCAAATAAATAAAATAATATTCAAATTAAAAACTGTCCCCCGCCAAAATAACAGCATAGACTACGGCAATCAATCCAAAAATTAGACGAATAAATAGCTTCAATTATCTTCCCAGACCAAAACAAATTATTAAATAAGCGACCTAAGCAAATACCCATCACAATTTTTTTACTACGTTAATAAAACATCGAAAACCGAAAAGGATGAATAAATATATAAAATAAAAATAAAAAGCAAGTAAAATAAATTAACCTAAATAAATAAATAAACAAGCCACTCCCGCCAAAATAACCGCCAGAATGGATTACCCACAATGCACCACTGACCCATATATATAAATAGTCGAGAAAAAATCCAACACTCGTGGCCTGATGATTGTGTCTAGCATGAAACAGCCTGTCGCCTCTGAGTGTTGATTTCAATGTTCACTTTTATATTTATATTTACATATTGATATGATATTGAGCACTTTATCTTATAAATATAGCACAACTATATTTCTTCATATACATATATATATATATATATATATATATGTATATTGTAAATGTCGTCAGTAATTTTGCATTTGTTGACCCTAGAAATTACTTCTTTTCTTTTGTTACGTTGTTACGTGTTCCTTCAGTAAGTAGGTGATCATAGCTCTCCACAACTTCCTATTCTTCATGGTTCTAAGAACTTTTTATTCCTTACTATCCATACCAGTCTCTGTTCTGTCATCCATTTATTCAAGGGGTTGAAATTTCAGGGATATGTAATGAAGAATAGAGTCTTAGAGAATTTTACACACACAGGAAATACTGAGTAAGACATCCAGTGCTTATATAAAGAAGAGCCTTCCTTGATCGACAATTGGCGTGACAATCTTTTAAACCAATGTTTGCAGGTTTGTTCCTCATGATGAAATGTATGACTGTCGTATTGTGCCGTAGGCCGCTTCTTTCATCAAATATGTCCGAAACGCAAACACCCGTATTTCAAAGCGCACACACAGACAAACCGAATGTCAAGGGTCGATGGAAGTGGCAAAACATTAAGTTGTTATCAGTTGCTATTGATCAACTGACTGCAAATCTAACTTGTTTCTTGCTTGGCCCAGGTGGACCGTCTCATCATAACACAGGTTTATTTGTACACCTGACAGGTGGATGAGAAAAAAAATATTCCGGTGTATTTTTACTACATCTAAATTGGATGCCCTGATCAACATTGTCAGGCAAACTGAAGCTATCATAACAAAATTCTACTCAATTCACACCGTCATTGTTTTTAACCTCTGTGTTTTGCCATGTTTCCACGTATATAATTTGCTGTTA